AGTAACAGAAGCCAGTCCTATCCTAGCAGAGTTGGAGACACTTATGGATGCATGTGCCGTGGTGAGACACTGCTGCTGCGGTGCCTTTTGCTGCTGCTCATGGTGCTGCTGCTGTTGCTGCTGCTGTTGTGGTTGCTGCTGCTGTTCCTGCATAGGGAAGCCATTGCGTTTGCCTCACCAAGAATGATCGTTGCTGCTTGTGGGGCTTCTTGCTGCTGCTCCTGCTGTTGCTGCTGCTGCTGCCGCTGTGGCTGCTGTTGTTGCTGCTGCTGCTGCTGCTGCTGTTGTATGCAGGGCACGGAAGCAGCAGTGGAAGATCTCCCAACGGGCCTCTCCTCCTCTAGCACGGGGGAGCTGGTTGAGTTGTTGGCTTCCTTTGCCAGCGAGCAGCAGCAGCAGCAGCAGCAACCGCAGCAGCAGCTGCAGCAGAAGCAGCAACAGCAGTGGAAGAGTCCGATTCAGCGGCTCTACGACACAGCAGCAATGCTGCATCAACTGCAGCGCGAGCGCGCCATGAAGGAAGCCCGTCCGTCGTGGCTGCACGTTGCAGTGCTGCCTTTCCTCTGCAGCAGCAGTTGCTGCCGCCGCAGCAGCAGCAGCAGCTGTAGCAGCAGCACCAACGTCGAGAGGAAGCCTTTGCTTCTTGATACGGCGCTCTCCCGTAGGACCCCAGAGCCAGCCTCGTATCAAACCTTAGCAGCCACACGTCAGGCCAGCAGCAGAAGTAGCAGCAGCAGCAGCAGCGATGGCGAAGGCAGCAGCAGTAGCAGCGGAAGCTGCAGCAGCGATGGCGAGCGCAGCAGCAGCTACAACAGTACCCGCGAGTTGAGAAGCGGCAGCAGCCTGTCTTCAGCAATAGTAGCCCAAGGCATTAGCAGCAGCAGCAGCAGCAGCAGCAAGAGCTGCAGGTGCTGCAGCTCCCTACGGATCTTCCCCAGCGATGCCTTCATCTTCGTTGAGAGCATTCCGTGCTGCAGCAGCAAACGCAGCAGCAGCAACAGCAACACGAACAAGAGCCGAAGTAGCAGCAGCACCTGCAGTTGCTGCTGCACCGTTTCTTATAGGTGTTGGCTGGTGTCGTGGCCGTCTTCTCGCTGCAACGATGAGAACAACCCGCTCGCTGCTGCTGCTGCTGCTGCTGCTCCAAGGCGAGAGAGCAGCAACTTTTCGCCTACGTGGTTTCAGCACC